AAATGTTTCAAAACTTTCAAAACATTTCGACAGCCCTTGTTTCATTTTGAGGCTGTTTCTAAGCCTTTCGTTTCGATTTTGCTGTTTCAAGCTTGAAACGAGTCAAAACAGTGCTGAAATGAAACAGCCAGCGAAGTTTCGCACAGCCCTAACTTTCAGTATATGATTTGTTTTTTTTCTGGTTCAAAGATGACAACTCCCCCTCCTTAAAAGGAGTACTTCTGGGGACAAGGGGAGGGACTTCTGGTGGCAAAGGTCAGGGGCAGGACATCTGGTCCCAAGATGGCAACCACAGGCAGGGCATGTGTCAAGAGACAGGGCTACTCTTGAGGCCCTGAACAGCTCATAAAACTCATTACGGCGAAATAATTGCCCGGCCCCGCATTAGGGGCTGCAATCCCCAGTGAGATCACAGCAGAAAAGAAGTCCTGATCCCTAGAGAACCTCTGGTTCCCTGAAGCTGCAGTTACCCAGGGATAGGACGACACTGTCCTTCGGTTGCTCTGTAGTAACTTTCTCTAGCCGAATGCTCTGCAATAAATGAAATAAAACAGGGCAATACAGTATACTCCGTTTAACTGCATAAACTCAAAAGCGAAAGGCAATTCTGCACTTACACGGGATATGCACTTAGCCAATGGGTAATGCCAGCAGTTACGTACACCATGCGACCGCCACAGGGTTATTAGGAGCCCCAGAACTGACGAACTCCTCTCACTGTCAAGGAAGGCTTCTACTATTCAGTTTTGTAGCTGCTATTACCAGGCTTGAAAAACAACAGTTGCACGTCCGTTTCAGTCATGGCGATACCCCGGCAATGACATCCCACTTACTTAACCAACACCGCTTATTTGGGGTGCGCCAATACAGATTGTTTCGGGCCGATACCGACGGTCGATTTTTAAGGAGCCGTATCAGCCGATACCGATCCGACCGTCAATGTCTGGGCAGGCCAGAGTGCACTGATGCATCAGATCGGCATCAATGTAAGGAAAGCTGACAGTATTGGCAATCGGGTTTTTTGGGCCAACGTGGCCAATAAATGCCCCCATGCACCCAATGTCCCATGCAGGGGCGCAGCCCGGCAGTGTCGGGCTGGTTAGTCTGTTGGGGGGAGGGGAGGGGGGCAGATCGAGGCCCCCCGCGGTGAGGGAGGGAGTGGGATTGGGCTGGGGCAGGCGCTGTCCAGCATATAATGGACACATATAATGCAACGTACAAATGCAACACACATAATGCAATGTACAAATGAGACTGTAAAAACCTTTTGGTAAAAGTAGGTGGCAGGACAGAAGATGGGGTGAGAGAACTCAAAAAATTTTAAGAAGAAAAATATTTAAATATCTAAAATATAGTCAGGTCTAATATATTATGATCTGTTTTGAAATTGAAAAAAAATGAAGATTTTTCTACAACTTAAAAGGAAAAAATCAACATGCTTTAACTGCCACTTCATGCACACACAAAACTTTAGAAAAGGGAATTTTGTTCTTGTTAAAGATACAAACCAATAATGCACAAGTCTCATACCAAAATGTTTTACAGGAAGCCAACCTTGGTCAGTAACTCTATTCAACCTCTGAATGCCAGATTTTTTTTTTATCACATTGCACAGTTTTCTCAGTGTTTGCTGCCTCCTCTCATAAGGTGCATAATATGCTGTTCAGTATGGCCATGTCTCACTGCAACATCAGTATTTCTAAGGATACTGTACTTTGTACACAGGCTCACAAAAGAACTGAACTTTGTTCAACAAAACAGCTAGGGGAAATGATTAAAATATTTTTGAGACAGCTCTCAATGTTGTAGGTTTCACCATGACATCCTGCTTAAGCTGTTTCCCCTCCAGTGTACAGGACTAAGGTAAAATTCAATAAAGATTTAATTTAACACACAGAACAAAACATAGGCACCCATGTCAAAGGATGACATTCTGTTTGATTTACCAAATACAGTCTTGTCTGAATACAGGCTGAAATCCTGACTTCCTGATGAGTACCTTCCATCCAGACATGAGAGGTTTGATGATCATTATAACATCATTACAATGTTTTTTTAGCCCTTAGGTTGTTGATACATACTGTCAACCTTAACTCCACCTTACTGTGTGTTGTTAAGAATGTGATCTTTTGTTTTTTTGGGTTTTTTTTATAGCCTTGCAAAATTATCACCCGCACTAAGCAGCCTACACCCAAAATTCACCACCACACTGCTTTTCATGACAATTAGTGACACCTTTGAAAAAAAGAATCCATTCCTTGTATAAATGCCCCTTTAAGACTGATTTATGCAATCTAAAAATTCCCCACACCACTGTGCAGTGTAATTTGTTTCTATTCAGGTTTTTATAGTTGTAACTCATGGTACAAACATCTTTTTTTATACTGATGTGGCTGGTATCTCTCATTTGTAGCTCTTTCCTTATTCATTTGGAGGGACTGTCATGTTTGTAGGTTAACTGTGACATGCCACATGGTTACAAGTTCAGGCAAAGCCACAGAAGGTTCCTTTATGTATGTAACCGAAATGATGAGGTTTGAGGTAGTTCTTAGATCCTGGAGGACTGTTTAAGTTGAAGAGAGATTCTCCTGAATTCTTTCATCTGATATGGAATCAGGATGTGATATTTTCAACAATCATTTGACACCTACACAGTCAAATGGGTCACTAGTTGGCTGGAGGGCCACATCCAGAGAGTTGTGGTGGACAGGTCATTTTCGACCTGGAGGGATGTGGGCTGTGGGGTCCCCCAGGACTCGGTCCTTGGGCCTGCACAGTTCAACATCTTCAGCGACTTGGACAGGGGTGTAAAAAGCACCCTGTTCAAATTCTCAGATGACACTAAGACGTGGGGAGAAGTGGACACACTAGAAGGGAGGAATAGGTTGCAATCAAACCTAGACAGGTTACAGGGGTGGGTGGATGAGAACAGGATGGGTTTCAACACTGACAAAGTGCAAGGTACTGCACCTGGAGAACCAGCACCTACAGGCTGGGGAACTGTAGATAGACCCCATGATAGACCCTCCCCCGCGTAGGGTCTATCACGGGGGGAGGTTGATACAGCTCTCTCAGCCTCCCCCTGTGATAGACCCTGCAGGAGGAGGTTGAGAGAGCTGAATCTCTTCAGCCTTCACAAGAGACGGCTGAGGGGAGATCTTGTGGCCGCCTATAAATTTATTAGGGGAGGTCAACGGGGAATAGGGAGAGGAGGCTAGATAGTTACCTGGCTGGGGTCATCTGACCTCGGTCCTCTTTCCTGCCAGGGGCAGGAGGTCGGACATGATGATCCATTGTGGTCCCTTCCGACTCTACAATCTATGAATCTATGAAACTCCCTTCTCGTCAGTGCAGAGGCAGAAAAGGATCTTGGAGTCATTATTGATGCCAAAACGAACATGAGCCGACAGTGTGGGGATGCGGTCAGGAAGGCCAACTGTACTTTGTCATGCATCCACAGATGCATCTCAAGCAGGTTCAAGGTGATCCTGCCCCTCTATACGATACTGGTTAGGTTGCAGCTGGAGTACTGTGTCCAGTTCTGGGCGACGCACTTCAGGAGGGATGTGGACAACGTGGAGAGGGTCCAGAGGAGGGCCACCTGCATGATCAGGAGTCAGCAGGGCAGGTCCTATGAGGAGAGGCTATGGGACCTGAACCTGTTCAACTTCCACAAGAGAAGGCTGAGGCGGGGATCTAGTGGCTGTTTACAAACTAGTCGGGGGGACCAGCAGGCATTGGGGGAGTCCCTGTTTCCCCCGAGCACTACCAGAAGTGACAAGAAATAATGGTCACAAGCTGGACGAGGGATTCAGGCTAGATATCAGGAGGTGCTACTTCACTGTTAGGGCGGCTAGGATCTGTAACCAACTTCCAAGAGAAGTAGTGCTGGCTCCTACCCTGGGTGTCTTTAAGTGGAGGCTGGATGAACACCTCACCGGGGTCCTTTGACCCCAGTACTCTTTCCTGCTTTGGCAGGGGGTCGGACTTGATGATCTGCTCGGGTCCCTTCTGACCGTACCAACCATGAAACTATGAAACAAAGATCAGACTACTAAAATCCCATTCTTTCTTCCTTCTCCTTAGTTTCTGCTCTTCTAAACCTATGTCTGAGTGTAAGTTTCTCTGATACTTGAGTATAATTGTATAAAATTATTATATATTGTTTCTTATCCTTGAGGCATACAGGTATATGCCTATATGGGTTTGTCGGTGAAAATACAAACCATTTAATGTTGATTCCTATTGAGCCATTTCAAAACTAGACAAACATGCATTGTTTAATCCTTATATTTGATATGCTTTACAGTGACAATTTGGTGAAAAATGGCTGATGGAACCTACATTACTTCCATCCTCCCTATAATGTAATGCATGACCCCATATCTTTGTTTTACTGCAGGAGCCACCAACAAATGGAACACAAGTTAACTTAAACCTAGAGGAGGCTGGTGACATCTGAAAGAGGGTAGGCAAAACTGATGTGCAAAGGTGTGCTCAGAGTTAATTTAGACTGATCAAAATGATAGCTGTGAACCACAGTGAGCCCTGCTATAATGAAAGCATAAAAATTCATGGAAGCCAAGAGCATCACCCTGTTATTTCAGGGCTGAATTTCATTTGCCATACCTGACACCACAAATATTAGACAAAACCTATCCTGAGGAACCACCACTGGTTAGCCTCAGGTCCATGTATTGCAAAGACAAAAAATTGATGCAAATGACAGATGGTAAGAAACAAGGAAGATGCATTACAAAAGTTACAGTAACTGGCAACATGGGTTGAATCATTCCTTTTAGGTAGTCTACTGAAATGCATCAAAGTAACTGTTAAAAGTTAACCAGTATTACTACAGAGCTATGGAAATTTATATGAGTACTAGTTATCTGGAATCCGATACTAAACTTTTTGCAGGTGACTTGACAGAATTTTGTAGTCACCACGGTAAAATGAAAATATTTGTTAATTGGAAAAAAAGTTGATGATCTAAACAGTATGGTCACAATTTGAAGCACTCAAAACATCTCACTCTGACCCCTTTTCAGAGTGAATTTTATTTTCCATCCTTACAAGCTCATTGCAAGTCAAAGCCCTAGAAAACTGTGGTTGTTTACAGAGATGGCACTGGGGGAAAAAGAACAAATGACAAATGACTCTTGGTGAATACTTTTATTATTAAAAAAATAATGCTCTCTAATAAGCCTCCCTGTCATATGTAAAAGTAAAATCATACTGTGCCCCTCCCTATTAACCTATCATATTCAGTCAATTGTCCAATATTATTTTAACAAGTGCTTTCCAGTTGTCTTTCATTAAAAAAAAAAATCATTTTGTTCTGTAGACCACTGTCTGTTTGCAGGGTAATATACAAGAACCCCAACAGTTTTGGGGATTAAGATTGGATGGGGATCTGTGAAAAGATCTCCTGGAAATATAGTCCATGCAATGAAATGATTGAACTACTATTATGAATTTTAGTTATTGTAGTAGAGCCCAAAAGTGACAGATTATTTCTTTTTATTCCAGGGAAAGTGGGGCAGCAGTGCTCCGATGCCCTCTGTCTGACCAGCTGCTGTTTGGAGTATGTTTGCTACTTAGAAAGGAACTGAAATTCAGGTACAATCCATGTAGACCTGTGAAATAAAAAGAAAGAACTGAGGAACATACCCCCCAAATCTGTGGAAATCTGCTACCTTTCTCTGTCTCTGGCTGTGGCTCTGATCTTCCTGTTGGGACACCTCATTCAGTTCCGTTTCTATTGGAATTATTGACAAGTAGCAGCTTCAAGTATTATAAAGCTGCTCAGTTCATTTCAGTGGAAATTTAAACCTTTTCAGGTATTTTTAAATCTATATCTAATTTCTTTATTAGACTTTTTATTTTTTAGTCAGTAGCATAATTTCTTTGTTCCACATATGATTTGACTACAGGAAACCCTTGCTATTTGTGCACTCCAGATTTGCGGATTCAGATATTCACAGGGGAGGGCAGAGCCGGAAGGGGAGTGAGTGCCGGGGATGTGGAGGGTGGTGGCGGCAGCGGCATCTTTTCCCCCAGCAGCAGCTGTGGCGATGCTCAGGGGGGAAGGGGTCAGTCCCCAGGTGCCGCAGGGGAGCCCTGGGGACGGGGGCAGCGGAGGCATCTTTTCTGCCACTGCTGCCCGAGGGAGCGCGGTGTTCGGAGGGGCGGGAGGGAAGGGGTCAGTCGCCAGGTGCTGCAGGGGAGCCCCGCCAACAATGGAGGGGGCAGCAGGTGGTGGCTGTGGCGTCTGACAGGGAGCCCCATCAGCATTCGCAGATTTTGCCATTCGCGGGGATCTCTGGAACGTATCCCCCGCAAATGGCAAGGGTCTCCTGTATTTTAATTATCAGAATTTCTCATCCTCTGAAAACACTTTCTTCTTCAAATATTAGTTTGAAACTTTAAAGAAAGTTATAATTTGATTCTTAGGTAATGGCAATTGGCATTTTTATAATACTAAAAAGTTGGTGATGTGTGACAGTAGTTCACTATTTCAAGCTTCTATTTGGTGATGTACTTAAACACCTTTCTAACATAAAGCAAGTGAGAAGTCCTTTTTTGTGTCCAAAGAATTGTTAAAGGACAGAGTTGTCAAATCAATTTTCATGCAAGGAATCTCAGATTTATAGCAAATTTCCTTCTGTGGTAAGGTTTTAAGCCATCAGTTTCATGAAAAAAAGAATTTGGCATTTCAGACAAATGTTTTCTTTGAAAAAGCTTATACATAGCTTATGAAACAAACATTTCTGAACTAAATGGTTAGATTGATTTCATTCTTCTGATCAGCTAAAGTCCTTCGGATTTTAAATTTATATAATTTTTAAATAATTTTCACAATGCTGTTGCTGAAAAAGATTTCCTGAACAATGAGTATTTAAAATCTTAAAAAAAACAACCTATTGCTGTAAAGGTTCCAACAATAATCTTATTGGGTGTTTATAGATGTGCTCCAGGAAGTTTGGGGGATGGTGCTTTATTTAGCGCAGCTCCAAGAGCTGTGCTAATTAAAAGCATCTGGACCGTCATGTGCTTCAGCA